TGGGGATTGAAAAGCTGAAGACATCGGATGTCTGGGATTGTCTGGACCTGGCATGCACCATCCTCGAGCAGGCACGCGCGGAATATCTGCGGGCCCAATCTGGATCCCGGGATAGATACCAGAAGATGGGATCCCGTGACTTCCCCCCTGAAGAGAAAAATTCTGGTGCCATGAATCTTTGACCGGTATGAGAAGGACCCTCTAGCAACGGCTGTTGGGAACGGAAGGCATGTGAATGTTCCACGAGTTCTGCTTCCAAGGCTCTTCGCCTTGCGATGGCCTCGGGTGGGAGGTGGGAGTGCCAGAGACGGCGCAATATAGCCTCAAGAGGCCCCCGAGGCAGCTCAACGAACCACCAAGGACGTAGAAGATCGCTCGAGTGACTCCCAGACAACCTCGACACCTGGCGAGACGGCCCCGAAACGGTTCCTCCGAGCCCCCCTGGGAAGAGAGAGCTCGGTAGAGCTGCCGCGCTCCAGGCGGCCCCTGGACCCCCAGCAGGCCCTAAGAGGCCCCCCACCGAGACCCCAAGAGGCCACATTGAAAACCTCGAACCTCGAACACATCCCACCCTCGCTCGCCGCCCCCCGAGGGGCCCTCCGAGCGCCGCGGCGGCGCCGCCCCGGCCGCGCTGGCGCACCCTGGCGCGCCCAGCGGCCTCGCGGAGTGGCTGGCGGGCGAGGCGCGCCAGCAGCGGCGCGCCCGGCGCACGGCGCAGTCCCAGAGGATCCGTATTAGCCTCTCCTCCTCCTCCTCTTCCTCCTCCTCTTCCTCCTCCTCCTCCTCCTCCTCCTCCTGCTCCTCCTCCTCATCCTCCTCCTCCTCCTCGAGGCTCCTCCTCGAGGCTCCTCCTCCTCCTCCTCCTGCTCCCTCCTCCTTCTCCTCCTCCTCCTCCTCCTCCTCCTCCCTCCTCTCCTCCTCGAGGCTCCTCTCCTCCTCCTCCTCCTCCTCCGTCTCCACCTCCTGCTCCTCCTGCTCCTCCTCCTCCTCCCTCTCTTCCTGCTCCTCCTCTCCTCCTCCTCCTCCTCTCCTCCTGCTCTGCTCCTGCTCCTCCCTCCTGCTCCTGCTCCTCCTCCTCCTCCTCCTCCTCCTCCTCCTCCCCTCCTCCTCCTCCTCGAGGCTCCTCCTCCTCCTCCTCCTCCTCCTCCCTCCTCCTCCCTCCTCTTCCTCCTCCTCCTCCTCCTCCTTCTCCTCCTCCTTGAGGCTCCTGCTGCTCCTCCTCCTCCTCCTCCTCCTCCTCCTCCTCCTCCTCCTCCTCCGTCTCCACCTCCTCCTTCTCCTGCTCCTCCTCCTCCTCCGTCCCCACTTGGGCATTGTTCGGGGAACGAACAATGACATGAACATAAAGACTCGGAGGCCCGTGCAGATTTCTCGGGTCGGCGCTGGAGCCCCCTGGCGCCGCCTCTGGCGCCGCTCCTCGCGCGCTCCGCGCGCCAGGGAGGGGGGTCCAGCGCCGATCTGAGAGATCCGCGCGGACCTCCGAGTCTTTATGCTTATGTTATTGCTTGTTCCCCTAGTTGTTTGTCCCCCAAACATGCTCGCGTCGTAAAGAATTCAGGACGAAGGTTTTTCACCGTTTTCGGCCTCTGTCCTTGCTGGGCCCCGGGACCGTCAAAAACGACTCAGGAGGAGAAGCTGGCCGAGGGCTGAGGGTCGTGACTTCTGGGGACGCCGTATTGAAGACATCAGGACGTTGCATGTCTGGGGCCCCATCCCCACTGGCCCCTGGTGAAGCTGCGGAAATGCCTTCGTCCCCGGCGAGACGTTGGGGCGACTTCTGCGGAGAAGGAGCCCTGTGCTTCGGCAGGGGAGCGGTTCGTAGCGCGTTCGATGTCGCCTCACGCCCTCTCCAGGCCCCCTCCTCCTCCTCCTCCTCCTCCTCCTCCTCCTCCTCCTCCTCCTCCTCTTTCCTCCTCTTTCCTCCTCTTTCCTCCTCTTTCCTCCTTCCTCTCCCTCCTCCTCCCCATCCTCCTCACCGTCCTCCTCCTCCCCTTCTGCGCCGCCTCGGGCAGGCTCGAGGCGCTTCGTGCTCGGGCTGCCGAACGCGAGGCCAACAGGCCTAGAGAGGTGGCTACTGTTGTTGGTCCGGCCGCTGACGACCAAAGACAAACAATTGGGCCATGGTTTCTCATCCCAGACATGCGACGTCTGGATGTTTCAGAAGTCCCGACCCTTTCGCCGGGACCGGCTCTTCCTCCTGAGTCGTTTTCTGACGGCCTCCCGGGCCCGTCGAGGGCCCCCAGAGGCCGAAAACGGCGAAAAAACTCTGTCCTGATTTTTACCGACGCCATCATGTCTGGAAAGCCCACCCTCTTATATACCACCCGAGTTAGGGACATGCCCCTCGAAGCCCGGAAGGAGCAGGCTATATCCCCATCTAGGGGGGTACATCGGCCGGTGGGAGCACGGCCACGCCAGTGGGCCCTGAGATCCAGCGTTGCGAAATAGTTGCAACATCTCGAGATCATCACGACCGGAGCCCTGTGGACCACGCGTCTTTCTGTGGCACGTGTCCAGCCGGATCGATCGGTGATGGTCCCGGGTCCAAGGTCGGGCGGAAACGCCCGCAGCGCGCACACATTGCAGCGCCCGGGGTCCGCTGAACGACCCAGACATCGGGTGTCTTGAGTTTCTCACTGCGGGGTCCCTGGAGGTCTGGACCTTTTCCCCTGGTGCAGTTCTGCGTCCCGAGTCGTTTTTGGACGGTCCTGGGGCCCGGCGAGGGCCCCCGGAGGGTGCACATCTGGAGAGAAGTCCGTCCCCAGATATCCGGCCGCTCCAACTTGTTCGATGCGTGCGCCCCAGAGGTCTGGACCACTTCAGGGCCCCCGGAGGCCGAAAACCGCCCCAAACCGCGCCCGCTCCAATTCTTTTAGAGCGTCAGATCCCTGGGCCTCGAGTTTCTCGAGAGGTTGGAGGTCTG